TTTTCCTATACAGTGTTGGAGTAGGAATATATGTAATCGCTTTCCTCAGCCGCTGAGCTCAGGAGTTTATATGCGAATTAGGGTAGAAGTGTAGAGAAACCAACAAGAATTTTCCTCGCAGAATTTTAATATTGTCATCACCAACACATGTGCATATTTTTCCTTCCTCCTTTCTGAAATTTGATATCAACTATATAATGAGGAAATCTTGATTCAGATTCAAGCATGATTTCTCAATACTTTTCGTACGCCTATATCATGACTTGGCCTTAGCTCGGACGAGTCCAGCTGAAGTGGTAGGAATGGTTTGCTACTACTATCGAGAGGTCGCGAGTTCAATCCCTGGTAGGGGCGTTTTTCCTTCTTCCTTAGGGGGGCTTGGGAGTCGGGGATGCATCTACTGAGATTCAGCGGCATAGTGAACTGGGCGACTTTACGTGTCAGATGTTTACTCGAAAAGACGTTACTGTTATGCTAGCCACAGAGTAGGAGGGGGACTCACGAGCTCAACGGAGTTTCACTAGAGGTGTAAAAACAATAGTGAAAAAAACATATTTCACTTTTGCAGTGAATAACGCGTAAAACGTGTGGTATGTGTTCTACGTGATATGGGGTCATCTCTCTGAAGTGTTTTCAATTCACTTCATATCGCGAATATCGCGTTTTTCACATGGAGTATTACGCCACTTCACGTAAAACGGGTAATCGTGAAACTCCAATAGGGAAGGATTTGCGACTTATCGTTTTGAATTTTTTTCGGTTATGAATATTTGAAATTTTTGAGATGGGTATTTGAGGCGGAAGTTGACGTTAACATATTTTTACACCTTTGTGGGTTTCCTTATGCAAAAGCGTAAAAATTTTCCAAAAATTTCGGCAATATTTTAATGATTTCCCTACATGGTGAATTTATCATTGGAGTGATATGAAGAACATATTTCGCGACTACTGCATATCACCGCGAATATCGCGTTTCACACCGAGTTTTACGCGAAATTCCAATATAGCAGATATACGGTGGGAAAACAGTTCGCTG